ACCTGATGGTACACTGGACAATGCAATGTCTCAACCAATAAGGATAAAGTGCATCTTTTGAAAACACTCCCCCCTACCCTGGAGATAATTGGTCCCGATGGTTACACTAACCAAATTATCTCCAAGTACATGAAACTACCATGTTTTATTCCCCACATAAAAATAACATAAAAATACATAACTTTTATATTTTAATAATAAAATATTCCATTCTCTGGATAGCTCAGATCTGAGCTCACAAAATATACGAATGGCATCAGATCTCATGAATGGTGTGTAAGAGTCATGAAAGTAAAATCTGTTCGTATGGTTTTTGTATGAATAGGTGGGATAACCGGCACCTCAGCTGAGCATTCGATGTCACAAACATGGCCTCCCCCTCGTGTTCGGCATACGAACGGCAACCACCTTGGGATAAGTACTTAGAGTGTGGTTAACTGCAGAAACCACAGCTTAATTGGAGACACACGCCAGTATCTAGGTGGTCGTCGTTCGACAGTTCTTTCCTGTGGTTGGATACTCTGTTCGGTTAATTGTATACGAATGGTGACGACCCTGATGACAGCCAATTAGGCTGCGGTTAACCACAAAGCGCAGCTCCAGGAAGGTTAATTGTCGACACACTCCTGGGGTAGGGGGGTCCGCTGTTCGTCGATTCTTTCGGTGGTTTCGAGGTCAATGAGGTTAACTAGCGGCACACGCCAACAGCCAGGTAGTCGGTCCTTCGCATGTAAGAATGACTTGTAGAATGGGTTAGCATAAAACAAAGTATCAAAGTGAAACAAAAGTAGCTAAATGTATCCGACAGAGGGGATCTCTATAACAACTTAATACTTGGTGGCAAAACCCTTGTTGGCAATCACAGAGGTCAGACGTTTCTTGTAGTTGGCCACCAGGTTTGCACACATCTCAGGAGGGATTTTGACCCACTCTTCTTTGCAGATCCTTTCCAAGTCATTAAGGTTTCGAGGCTGACATTTGGCAACTCGAACCTTCAGCTCCCTCCACAGATTTTTAATAGGATTAAAAAAATAGGACTGGCTAGGCCACTCCAGGACCTTAATACTTCTTAATGCTTCTTCTTGTGCCACTCCTTTGTTGCCTTGGCTGTATGTTTTGGGTCATTGTCATGCTGGAATACCCATTCACGACCCATTTTCAATGCCCTGGCTGAGGGAAGCAGGTTTTCACCCAAGACTTGACGATACATGGCCCTGTCCATCGTCCCTTTGATGCGGTGCAGTTTTTCTGTCTCCTTGGCAGAAAAACACCCCCAAAGCATAATGTATCCACTTCCATGTTTGACGGTGGGGATTGTGTTCTTGGGGTCAGAGGCAGCATTCCTCTTCCAAACATGACAAGTTGAGTTAATGCCAAAGAGCTTGATTTTGGTCTCATCTGACCATAACAATTTTACCCAGTTCTCTCAAACAATCAGATGTTCATTGGCAAACTTCAGACGGCCTGTACATGTGCTTTCTTGAGCAGGGGGCTTTGCGGGCGCTGCAGGATTTCACTCCTTCACGGCGTAGTGTGTTATAGGGACGTATTAGCCGCGATGCAAACAAGTCATTTGCCTTGGGTGGCATTTTCCAGGGGGCGGCAAAAAAAGCCGCCCCCAAATGCCCAGGGCAAATGTCTTGCAGAGAGCTCAGGGGAAAGTGCTCCCTCGCCAGCCGCCACCCGACCGACTGCCCGACCGCCCAGCAGCCCAGCAGCCCAGCAGCCACTGGACCCCCAGGGATAGGAAGAACCCCCCAGCATTCCCAAAGTGTTAATGTGAGTGAGTGTGTGTGTCTGTTAGTGAGTGAGTGAGTGTGTGTGTCTGTTAGTGTGTGTGTGACTGTTAATGTGTGCAGACACACACTAACAGACACACACAATAACAGACACACACACTCACTAACAGACACATTAGTGAGTGTGTGTGTCTGTTAGTGTGTGTGTCTTTTAGTGAGTGTGTGTGTATCTGTTAGTGAGTGTGTGTCGGTTAGTGTGTGTGTCTGTTAGTGTGTGCGTGTCTGTTAGTGAGTGTATGTCAGGGAGTGTGTCTGTTAGGGAGTGTGTTACTATGTGTGTGTCTGTTAGTTTGTGTGTGTCTGTTAGTGAGAGTGTATGCATCTGTTAGTGAATGTGTGTGTCTGCTAGTGACTGTATGTGTCTGTTAGTGAGTGTGTGTGTATGTCTGTTATCTAGTGTATGCGTGTCTGTCAGTGAATGTGTGTGTGTATTTAGAAGGCGGGAAAGGGGGGGTGGCGCGAGGGGTGCGCCTGAGTTTTGGCATGCCTAGGGCAGCACAAAACCAGGATACACCACTGGTGTGTTACCAATTGTTTTCTTGGTGACTATGGTCCCAGCTGCCTTAAGATCATTAACAAAAATCTCCCGTGTAGTTCTGGGCTAATTCCTCACCGTTTGCATGAACATTGAAACTCCACGAGATGAGATCTTGCATGGAGCACCAGACCGAGAGAGACTGACAGTTATTTTGTATTTCTTCCATTTGAGAAAAATCGCACCAACTGTTGTTACCTTCTCACCATTGTGCTTGGCAATTGTCTTGTAGCCCATTCCAGCCTTGCGTAGGTCTACAATATTTTCCCTGACATCCTTGGACAGCTCTTTGGTCTAGTCAATGGTGGAGAGTTTAGAATCTGAGTGATTGATTGATTAATTGATCTATTACTTCTGTGGACAAATGCCTTTTATACAGGTAACGAGCTGAGATTAGTTGCACTCCCTTTAAGAGTGCTTGCTACCTGTATAAAAGACACCTGGGAGCCAGAAATCTTGCTGATTGAAATGGAATCAAATACTTGTTTCACTCATTGACACGCAAATCAATTTATAAAATTTTTGACATGCGTTTTTCTGGATTTTGATTTGTTATTCTGTCTCTCAATGTTAAAATCCACCTACCCTTAAAATTATAGACTGATCATTTCTTTGTCAGTAGGCAAATGTTCAAAATCAGCAGGGGATCAAATACTTTTTCCGCTCACTGTAGGTAAGATTACTTTTGCACCACTTTTGAGGGTACTAACCACTGCATACCAGAAACACCCCAATTTACTTGCCATTTTCAAGATGCTCTAACTCGTCTATCCATCCATTTATCGTCTATCCATCATTATTGTCAAAGTCACTCAATCAGTCACAAATCTTTTGCTTGCACATTTTTCTTGCTTCCAACAAATGAAATTTAAGATCCGACTTTATACTTGCTGCCTAATATATCCGACCCCAAATGGGTATTGAGACAACACTATCCTTAATGAAATGATCCACTTATTTGGCAATAGCCTCTAGAACATTATCCTGTACTGAAACAATCGGCTTCTCGAGAGGGTTAGTTTGAACCCTATGGATTTTTGCAAACGTATACAGAATGGGATGTTTGTGAAGTTCTACACATAGAAACTTAGCTACTTTGTCATCCTGGTATCCTAATGGTTGTCTTTGCTCAATTAGTCTTTGATTTTATTTGGAATTTTAAAAAGAGATCAAAGGTGATTCTTTGATTGGTATTCTGGTTTGCCACTTGTCGAATCTTTCCTTTATATTTAGCACCTCTTGTGCCTGCAGAACAGATCACAAAGCATTTATTGTACTGGAATTTCACTTATATCAGCTTGTACTGTAAAAATAAAATATTTAATGGAGGTGCTGATTCTTTTTATTTCATACTGAGCTTGAGATGGAAACTTGTGTTTTGTCCACATATAAATATCAATTCTCTGTTCATTACAGTTAAGTATCTGATATATTTTGTATATTTCAGTTTCTGTTTGAAAATGATCTGGTTTGGTGACAGGAACAAAAGTTACGTATTTAGATAACTATGAATGATGATGAGTTGTAGGTCCCTTGTCAGATAAGTTAAAGGGCAGCGTCATTTCCATTGAGGTTTGCTCGCCCTTCTCATACTTTTTGTTTTTGTCTCCTCCTAGAGTATTGCTGCCTTAAGTGGTGATAACACTTGTCGAATTTGGGGGATTGTCTGTATGTTGGCTTTTGCCAAATAAATTGAGAATTGGCACTGGGACTATTCTTTATGTTTGATCAGTGGCATACCTACCACGGTTGCAGGGGTTCGTCATTCCAGGGGGCCTGGCCACTGCTGTAACCCCTGCAGCTGCTAGCCACCGAACCAGGGCCTTCACTTGTAAAGGGCACAGGCCATCTGAGGGCCCTGCGAGCCCGGGCCCCTTACATGCACACAGGCCTGATCAGGAAGATATTGATCTTCCTCCCAGAACTTTGCAGAACTGTGCAGCAGGGAGGGGCAGGAGACCCCCAGCCTTCACCTCCATAGCTGGCTGAGTCCCGGCTTTCAAAACGTTGTCACAGTAAACATGGCAACAATCGATTTCACATGGTGCCGGGACCTGCAGGAAGAGCCTTCACTCAGCGAGAGCATCTGCAGCACCACCAGACCGCCAGGGAATGTCCGGCCCCATTCCTGGATGCTGGTAGGAAAAAGGGAGGGGGAAAAAAAACTAAATCAAAATGTTATTTAACAAAATAAATATATTAAAAAAAAAAATATAAAAAGAAAAAGATGCTCCCTTCGCAGCCCCCGCAAAACTCGGCACCCCTCCCTTGGCGCTGAAGGGGTTAAAACTCCTTGAGCGCTGGTGACCTCTCCTCCCACTCTGACGTCAGCTCCCGAGAGGAGCAGAATGCACATGCGCGGCAAGAGCCGCACGTGCATTCAAACAGTCCATAGGAAAGCATTTCTCAATGCCTTCCTATGGACGTTCTGCATGCTGGATGTGATTTTCGCATCCAGCGTTGCAGAAGCGCCTCTAGTGGCTGTCAGGAAGACAGCCACTACAGGCTGGATTAACCCTGCAATGTAAACAAGTTTACATCTGAAGGGTTAAAACCTGGGGGACCTGGCACCAGTGGTGTATCCTGGTTTTGTGCTGCCCTAGGCAGGACAAAACTCAGGCACCCCCAACCCCGCAGCCCCCACCCATCCCTTCCCCCCACCTTCTAAATACACACACACACTCACTGACAGATACGCATACACTAGCTAACAGAAACACAAACACACACACTCACTAGCAGAGACACACTCACTCACAGACACACTCACTAACACACACACTCACACACACTAACAGACACACACACTAACACACTCACTAAGACACACACACTAACAGACACACACACACACACACACACACTCACTAACAGACAGACACACTCACATTAACACATGTACTTTTTAACCCCCTCCCTCCAGCCTCCTTATCTCCCCCCCC